TCAAAACAGAATAATTTGTTTGTCAGGCAAGTTTAAAATTACTTGTTCTCAATGCAAAGTAATGCAGCAAATTGCTGAAGCAAGAAGAATATAATGATAGCACGCACTGTTCTCTAACGTCGAGTGCCATCTTCAAAGAATATTCCACCATCGACTGCACAGTACTTTGGACAGATTCCAAGATATCCGCTTCCGCCTGGTGTTCCTGGCTGACCTTCTGGTCCGGGATTTCCTGGTAGTCCGGGAGCGCCAGCGGGTCCACGCGGTCCTTTTGGTCCTGGTGGTCCTAAAGTTCTTTCAATTCTAGCAAAGTTAGAAAATAGGTACGAGGATATTTACCAGGAGTTAGAGGCGATCCGGGAATTCCGTCTGGTCCAGGTGGTCCAGGAGGTCCTGGAGGCCCTGGTGGTCCCGGCAAACCGGGTTTAAACTCAACCTGACCAGATTCTCCAGGCTTCCCAGGATCACCAGGTCTTCCCGGCCGTCCAGGATGTCCAGGAGGTCCTTTGGGTCCTGGCGGTCCTGTTGTTGAGGTGAAAGTCCTAGTACCTGGCTTCCCAGGAACTCCTGGGTGACCAGGAGGGCCAGGTGGACCTCGTGCTCCTGGTTTACCCGGAGGGCAAGCGCAAGGTGGTGGTGTGTACGGGTCGCAGGAGGCACTGCTCGGTCTTCCGGGTGCTCCTGGCATCCCGGGAATCCCGGGAATTCCCGGACGTCCTTTTCTCCCTTGTGGGCCTGGAGCCCCTGGCTCCCCTGGGTTGCAACATCTCGGGCAGACTGATTTGGTGTCTCGTCTTGTTCTATTTGAGAAGGAAAGACCTTTGATGTGAATAGCTTCTGTCGTTATGTCTTTGACAGAAACCTTAAAAAGACAAATAAAGTAGTTCAAATTGATTCAATGTAGGAAATGCATACCTTGCAGTATTTGATGTCGTTCTCAACCACACGCCTAACATCGTGAATATTGTTATAGATCATGGGGATGTTCACGCAAATCGACGCTATTGGAATCACAGAATATGCGATCGCAGCGTAAATCAAACATCTATACACCACCACCTTTTGCTTCTCCGTTTCCATGTATTTGCAGCTGAAACAAACAGTTCTCTCTCATCTACTTAGCCTGCAACATCCATACATATGTATCCCGTTCGCTAAACCCAACAAGTTATAGCTCATTTCACAAACATTCAAAGTTTTAAGTGCAACGACATTGCGAACAAACGTTCTGGTCACACCGAATACATTGACAGCGAAACCCTATCGTAATTCCACCAATACACTGTACTTTTCCCTCATGAGAGCAGTTGAATCAGGGTTTGAAAAAAGCGCATGCGCAAATTAGATGCCATCAAC